AGACATTTAGGGAAAGAAAGCGATATAAACACACACATTCAGCACATGCATCCATGCACACACACAGTCTATACATCCATACACACATACTGCCCAATACATACATCTATACACACACATTGCCCAGTATATATATCTATACACATATACTGCCTAATACATACATCCATACACACATACTGCCCAATTCATACATCTATACACACACATTGCCCAATACATACATCCATACACACATACTGCCTAATACATGCATCCATACACACATACTGCCTAATACATACATCCATACACACATACTGCCCAATACATACATCTATTCACACACATTGCCCAATACATACATCCATACACACATACTGCCTAATACATACATCCATACACACATACTGCCCAATACATATATCCATACACACACACACACACGTTGCCCAATACATACATCCATACACACATACTGCCTAATACATACATCTATACACACACACATTGCCCAATACATACATCTATACACACACATTGCCCAATACAGACATCTATACACACACACTGCCCAATACATACATCCATACACACATACTACCTACACATATGAACCCTACAGACAAGCTCACTGATACACATACAAGCTCACTCACTAGCAGGCACACACACACACACTCACTAGCAGGCGCACACACACAGAGGCTCCCTCACTAGCAGATGTGCGCACACACACACACACAGAAGCCCGCTCGCTCACTCACTAGCAGATGCACACACACAAAGACATCCATACACACAGAGGCAGACAGTCACTGACACCGAGGCAAACATCCACACATACAGAGACAGGCAGGCAGTCACACACAAACAGTTACACACAGGCAGACAGTCACACACACACACAGGCAGTCACACACACACACACACACACAGGCAGACAGTCACAAACACAGGCAGTCACACACACACACACAGGCAGACAGTCACACATGCAGACAGTCACACACACAGTCACACACACACAGGCAAACAGTCACACACACTGACAGTCACACACACCGGCAGACAGTCAAACCAACAGTCACACACACAGTCACACACACCGGCAGACAGTCACACACACAGTCACACACACACACACAGGCAGACAGACACACACACAGAAAGTCACACACACAGAGACAGTCACACACACACAGGCAGACAGACACACACACACAGGCAGACAGTCACACACACACAGACAGTCACACACACACAGGCAGACAGACACACAGGCAGACAGACACACACACAGACAGTCACACACACACAGGCAGACAGTCACACAGGCAGACAGTCACACACACACAGGCAGACAGTCACACACAGAGACAGTCACACACACACACAGGCAGACAGACACACAGGCAGTCACACACAGACACAATGACCTACTGCTTGGAGCTCCTGCAGGCTGGTTGTTGGGGAAGCAGGGACTCCTTCCTGCTTCCCATGCTGCATTAGCCAGTCCCCGCCGCACGCTAAGTCCCACCCCCTCGCGCACTAAGCTCCGCCCTGCCTCAATATTATTTAAAAATTTATTTATTTATTTTTTATGATCCCGGACGGCCATGTGTGAGCTGTGCCGGCCGCCGGGCTCCCCCTGCCCCCATGGGGCTCTGTGCGGCTGCACAGTTTACACATGGCCGGCCGGGATCACAGGAGCCTGAGCAATTATAAGGGCTGTCAGCCCAGCCCCAGGTGCCGCGGCCCACAGTTTGGAGACAGTTTGGTTAGAAATTGAGGGGGCAGAGATAGACCGGTGAGACTGGGAAGACATTTAGTAATCTGAGACAGTTTGGTTAGAAATTGAGGGGGCAGAGATAGACCGGTGAGACTGGGAAGACATTTAGTAATCAGAGACAGTTTGGTTAGAAATTGAGGGGGCAGAGATAGACCGGTGAGACTGGGAAGACATTTAGTAATCAGAGACAATTTGGTTAGAAATTGAGGGGGCAGAGATAGACCGGTGAGACTGGGAAGACAGTAATCAGAGACAGTTTGGTTAGAAATTGAGGGGGCAGAGATAGACCGGTGAAACTGGGAAGACGTTTAGGGAAAGGAAACAGACCACAGAGACATTTAGGGAAAGCAGAGACACTGGTGAGGAATTTAGGGAAAGGGATCGGATTGGAAAGACAATTAGG